TGTGTGCGAAAATGCGCATTTTGTGTACAGTTTTCCTGCCCACGCTCATCTGTCAAGAAATCGCCACAACATGCTTGCAGGCCTCGAATAATGCTTCCGTTGACAATTGGTGTCGAACAATCTGATGACGATGAGTTGAGTGCAGCCAGGCCTATTCGTGAACCGTTTACTCCTGAAGTGTCGCTTTCCGGAACACGTCGTCGACATCCCACCACCGGTACTTTGTCTTAGTACCAGACCTGCTTTCGGCATCAAATGCCTAAATTTGTCTCAGTATTCGGTTATTCACAACAAATCCCATCTCAAAGATAAAGAAGCAAATAGACGTCACATAATATATCAAATAATGATTTATGGTTTTTTGTTAGAAATGGCGTAAAGAACAATTGCGTCACTATGATGCAATACGCCGGCCCCTGATTCAAACTTTGAGCATCCTACCCGACGTTAAAGTTTTGCTATCTTAGTAATCTCTGACTCCTGGGGTACAAAAAAGCACTCCTCCCCATCTCCGGGATGCCACAGCTAGTTCAACTTACATTAGAAGCTATTTTCCTATTTCTGTTCTGGGGAGCTTCGGCTCCCCGGAACCTCACCACCTTTTTTGTATTGCCTTTTATTATTTTATGTACTTATATATATATATATATATATGTACTTGTATATATACACATGATTAAGTGTCTTCCACACACACAATTACATATGAGGCACTCCACTAGTCTAGAATATTAACTTTTAGGGTCGAGACAAAGGATCTTGGAGACAGCAGTCGTCCGTGCCCCAGTCTTCAACGTCACTCCGTGATTTGTCGTTCTTAATTTCCCTAATGTTTATTTCTGAGTCGATGAAGGCAAGAGTCTAGCATCCATTCAGCCAACCCCACTGCTTACCAGAAACTTTCGGCTGACCTTTCTTCATTATCTTTCGATTTTCTTATCACTTGGACCATCTGTTCCCGTGGCCTCGGCCGGGGTTCCTTTTGAAGATCTGTTATAATAGCAAGTGCCTGCATAATGATAACATCGATCGGCAGTACTTTTCTATCAGACAAGTTAGTATACTCAAACACTTTACTGCATGAAGGCAGTAGACATGATAAAGTAGCTAGTAGCACCGTGCTAATAATGAAGGCTCAAAATTCGACTTCATCAACGAGAGGACTGATCCCTCCACGACTCGTAAATTCATTTCAAAAGTAGTACTCCTACACGTCAAAGAGTCAAAACCTCATTAGCTTTTTTGTAAGCAACTCTCGGAAGATACAACCAGTAAGGGTTGCTTTTTTGGCAAATGCCGACATTTGAGCTATTTCCGAATGCTTCCGTTTTTCGAGTGAATTTTGAGTGTATTTCGATTTTTGATTTGTGTTAGGTCCTCACATAGCCTTTGACTGCAGCAACGCAAGACAAAGAAGAGTGCCAGGTTCCAACAAAAGCTTCACTTCAA